GGAGGAGAATTAAAGGGCGATACGCATTTTTAGAGGGCTAGGAGCCATTCGGCTTAAGAGACCTTAGCGCCGGCCAAGACCCCACGGCAAGCGAGAGGACGTTTGCGAGGATAGTCTTCCTCCATCGCCATCGGCTTTGGGAGCGCCCTTAGCCATAACGGCCGGACTCACAGAGCGCACAGACGTCCTGGGGCTGTGATCACCGTGATCACTAGCGGGCGATTGCACGCTGTCATCTTTGTGCTCACTGGGCACTGGGCTGTGCCCTCCCACAGAGCCCGCAGGAGCATCATGAGTGCTCTCGGACTCAGCATCGTCTTCACTGCCCGAGTTGAACTCACGTTCTACGAACCGGGGGTTCGGACGATTGTCTGAAGACGAGGGCGACGGGCTGCGGCGCCTGCTTGCGCGCTTGTCCACAGTCGCGTCACCCGAGGATCCGATCGCCTCGGAGGCCACCTGAGTAGCCTCCTTGAGTGCAGAGCCTTTGCCGTGAGGCTTAGTGCTCTTGGCCTGCTCCTTACCGGCTGCAGCCTTAGAGCGTGTCTTCGCACCGCTCTTTGCTGTGCCACGAGGCATGACAAACGGTCAAGTGGAGACCAAGAAGAGGAGCACACAGACTGCTGCTCGAGGCTCTAGCTGTGAAGTGAGCCTCCGCCGCGCTCGCGCGGCCAAGTCGATGGTTTTCGGCTTTGAGAATGAGAGTTTGTGACGAACACCTCTTCGTTCTGATTGGTCGGTAAACCGAACCTAAGTGGGGGAGGATGTAACGACGTACGTAGCCCTAAGTGTACCCTGGTTACATGAAGTGTGACACTCCACACTTCAGGAGTATGACACGTCATACTCCGGAATATTGGTACAAGGTATCAAGGTCGTTCAAAGCCAACCATTGGTTAAATGACATTGCATTTCTATAGGTAACTTATAGTTTGTATTAAACCCAAACTTAACCTACCTATAAATATACTCAGTTTACAATCTACCTTATTTAGGTCACTTCGCTCTCTTTAATTAAGGAGGGGACCTGTGAGCTGCCGTTCACTGAGAGTTTGTATACTCTCGGAAGATAACTTCCTCTAGCGCAAGGTGCTGTGTGACCCCGTCACAATTACCGTCTACAAAACTAATTCCTGAAAATTATTATCTTGACGGGGAGAAACAATAGTATAGTAGTAATTATACTGGGATAGGCTGGACAGTTCAAGCCGGATTAATGTGAAGCCGGTTACTGAAGCCGGTTACTGAAGCCAGTTTTCAGACTGCGGTAGAATACCGGTATCTCAATATTGCTTAGAGCTGTCAATCCTGTGAATGCTTAGAGCTGTCAATCCCGTGAATTGAGGGAAGCATGGATGCCTGCCTAAGGATTGATGGCGAAAACGGTCGTCATTTTCAGTCAGTCGCGTCGGTGCAGGTTCGAGCAAGCCCCATGCGACAAAGAGTATGGAGCGGAGACGAGCGTGGCTGGATCACGAAGACCATGGAGACTGCGTGACTGCTCAACGGTCTGTTGGTGCTGACGAAGGAGAGGGGGCTTCTCGGCCGAGGGGGAGGCGTGCTCACCGGCACGAGCGACAATATAGCGCGGCATTGGCAGAGGAAAGACGTGTGAGGAGAAACGCTCTGTAAAGAGAGAGGCGAGCTCGCCAGCGCAGCCAAGAAAACAGTGCAGATGCTAAAATATCTGGTAGCCGATGTCTCGCCGAGGTAAGACGTTTAAGGAGAAATGCTCAACAAAGGGAGAGATGAGCTCGCCAACGTGACCGAGAATACAACACAGACAGAGACGTCTCGCGAGACTTACGCGAGCGTGTACTGGACGCCCGCTCCCTGACTAAGAGCGAGATCGAATGGCTCGCTGAGAGCCAGCATATTTTGCGAGATCCGCGTCTAGCACTGGCGTACTATCATTGCTGTGGCGTCGACCCTGCGTCTTTTGTTTTCGGGGACGAGAATCTTGGCGGGGAAGCCGAAGTGGCGCCGCGAGTGCGGGTTTCGGCGATGCTCGGTGACTTTCCCGGCCCCCGCGATATTGCTGAGTGTCAACAATTAGTCGCGTCATGCGGGTCCGAAGCAACTTCCGTTTGGGCTTGTGCGGCGTGTGGACGGATTTTGCTGCAAACAGATTCGGACGGTGTCCATTTTTCATCGCTGTCGCAACTGGATACTGTTCTCTTGTCTACTACCGAGCGGGAGTTATTGTTTAACGAAATACCGGAGCCAGCATTGCGGTGTTATCGACAGCTTTATTTTTTCGGAGAAGACAACTCTATTATTTGATACCCGAGCTGGTGCGAGATCGAGAAAAAAATCCTCTTTGTCACAAATGCAAAAGCGACCCACGTAAGAACGAATTTAGCGTCGCGGCTGGTCACGATTATGGGCGTATCGCGATGCTTCCAGTTTTGACTGACGCCGCACTGTGGTACATATCTCCTGCTCGATGCTTTAGGATCGAGCTTTCGTTGTCCGGTAGACACTCCAGGGGCCACGCGATCTGCTTCCCCACAAACGGGCCTTTTGATCTTGCCCGGGAACTACCAAATGTGCATTCTAGCGGCATGCCTCGTGTGACGTTCGTCGGGTCTCGTGAGGCGTGGTCTGGCCAGCGGAAAAGATACTCGTCATTGTATACGATTCCGCCCGACGACGTGTACAAGTGTATCTATACAGCTTCACGCTACTCGTCACATTCATCCTTCTAAATATTTTCATCGCTGTGATCTTGGAGGGATTCGCGAAAGAAAAAGACCGTCAGGATGGCGTTCTACTACCTCAACATGTACGCTGTACGGTTGGCCGTACTGAACGGCATCAATAACGTCTTTCAAGACGAGGACATTCAGGTTGTTGATACCCCCAAGCGGCGGGAGCTTCTGAGGGCGATGGCTTCCTCCGTCGAAGCCTGTGTTCATATTTCTGAGTCTGCCGTTGTATCGGCTATTGACGAAGAGACAGAGGGTGATAGCGGCGTACGCGATGAAAGTTTGAGCGGTGTGGACGACACAGTGATTGTTCGCTCCTCGGCCGTTCTCTTGAATATTGAGCAAAGCGACCCGGCGGTTGTTTACGGAGGTAATAGATGCTATGGCTGCCACTATCGGAGAGATGCGGCCGGGGCAGGACAATGAGGCGCCGGTAATTCCCATAAAACGCGGTAGGTCCCCATTTGTGGAATGGGTCGAAAATGGGAAGCTATTAGCTAGTGCTTTTCCAGATTTGTTTCTTACAGGCTCGCGTCCTCTTCCGTCCGGGCCTCTTCCCCAACGTTATGTCGGCCACTTTCTGCATTATGGGGATGGCCGATTTGAGAAGTCTGGGGCTTTTATTTCGATGCGGTTTAATCAACTGCAGAGACATGCGGCGGACCAGAAAGCTGCCCGAGTCGGTGTCGTACATGGTAGTGCCATGAAGAAGTTTGGAGAATTGATTGGTACACAGAAGTTCAAGGAGGCTCTTGCGTTCGCCAAAAATCATCCGTAGTCGACAGAGGCAAAAAGCCTTAACGCAGGGCTACTGAGGCTGCTTTCTTTGGTGGGAGGTAGCGTCCCGATCTCGCCGTTTGAGAGGGCGGCGACACGGCCGAAACTTGGCGCGATGCGCTATCGCTATGGAATCGCTCTACATTGGGTAACAATCGCGCCGCCAGAGCATGATGACCTCCTGCTTCATCGGGTTGCAGCGATACGGGAGCAATCGGCATGAAATGATCCAAATTGTGTTCTTCCAAGAAAGAAGTGTCGTTTCGGAGATTTCCCGGTTTCTTTACGGAGTAGCGCAAGAGCGCGATTAAAGATCTCATCTCGGTACCCCGCGCTGTCGGCACAGGTATTTGAAAGAAGAACAAAATCGTTATCGCGCGATATCGTACGATGTCGTGACTCCAGCTCAACTCGTGCCAGCACGAACTATATCGCTGCTAAACGTGGAGTGTACGGGCGCTGTGCTGCTTTTAACGCGGTTATCGAGCGTCAAGCGGACGGCCGACTGCACCCTCACATGACAGTGTATGCGTCTGCTGTAAACCCTAGTCTGTTGACGAGGGTGGCAGGTTGCCCGGAGTTATTGCCAGATATGCAGCGATATTTGAGTGCGGTGTCGTGCACGAGTATCCCCAAGCGGTCGCGGGATTGGTGCGAAGCGTGGAAGGAGATGAGCTACGTGGATGGTACGGTGGTGTGCCACCCGACCAGGCTTTCGTACCTCTCGTTTCGGCTTAGGACTCCCCTCTATATTGCTAATGCATCTACAGTCATGTGCGTCAATATGCAATTGTCTACAACTTATATATTTAAATACATGACATGTATGCATGTACATTATACGACTGTCGATCGGGCAAAGGGACCAGGATTTGCAGAGCCTACTGACATACACGTACCGTCAATTTATTGCTATCCCAGCCTACGCTCCAGCCCTAGTTTCGTTTCGAAGTATACAGGACTATTAGCTTAGTCGACCACCTAAAAATCTAGACAATAATGGCAAATTTGGCCCATCTATAGAAGGGTAACGAAAACAACGACCATCTAAATGACCTGGGTCTAGACTAAAAAAGAAGATTGAAAAGGCTTCAATTACAGCCAAGCCTCAATTTTTGGCCTACAGGGGGCGGCTGTTCACACGACATCTTGGATTCCTAATAAAGGCAGGATGACCTCTCATTAGGCCAGACGAATCGACTGGTTCTTGCTGTACAAGCTAATAAAGTGGTTCTATTACTAGCCGCTAAGAAGCTAATGTAATAATTTGGTACTATTGTAGTAGTTGTTGTCCTTGCGCGGCAAACTACTAGCTAGTATGGTAGTTCAGTAGCAGCTCGGTACTAGCTAGTTCCAAGATAGTACTCTATGTCGAAACAAACGTCAATCCCCGCCACAGTACTAATAAACGTGTCCATCGTTTTTACTCAAAGGTACTAACAAGTGTCTACTTTAAATCTAAAAGCTGAATAGTGATAAAGCTTCGGGCGAATCCAAATATTGCAGATCGTGCGCGTAAAGATGATTGCTGAGCGGCAGTCAAGCATGTTCAGGCTGCCTAGCACATCAATGGTGACCTCTAGACTCTTCCAGACGAGAAAACGACTGACGAAGCCTCAGTGGCTGCGTTTGTGGCCTCTACGATCGGTTTTTACTAACGAGCACGGGGAGTGGGTTTACTGTACAGTCGTGCCCCTCCAATTCGACAGGGCGGGCCATATCAACAGTGCCAGGGCATAAGTGCACAACGTAAAGCAAAAAACAAACGCAAATCCAGTGTACTAATATTTTATTTGTTAATTCAGTACAAAATTTACGCCAATCTTCTGCATAATCTTGGCGTCAGACGCGCGAATCGCGGGCGCGCAACAGCGCTTCCGGTCGCGATAGGCGTCCGGCAAGGCGGCAACTTCCGCGGACCACTTAAGAATACTCTGGACGGTGGTGCGCTTTACTGCTCGGGGGGTCTTAAAGCGCTCCGTTGCCCAACGAGCAAGTTCAGAGTGAGAGCATGCAGGATCTGACTTGTGCTTCTCGCACAAAGACTGCTTTTGTGGGACATGTAGGAGGAAGGGCGATGTCCCATTGTCTTTGGCAGTAAAAATCAAAGTGTGTGTTTGTATGAAAACGTCCGATCCAAAAGTTAAAATCAGATCGATGCGGCGTGTCATCCCTCGGCGAGGAGGGGAAAACCGTTGAAGTTAATTGCTAGGGTGGTGATGGGCAAAGGTAATTGCGCATCCGATTCGCGTAATCAGAAAATCTGGCAGGGTATCGACTGATACCGGTGTCGAATTGGAGGTGCACGAGTACACCAATTTCTTTTTTCTAAAAGTAATTTTAAATTGACAAAAATAGTACTAATATAAAGTAGTACTTTATAAAGTGATGAAACATCTAGCGTACCTAATTAAAAATACAAAAATAATAAATTAGGACTTTCTGCATGGAATGTTGCTTTTACAATTTGGAGACGGATTATCTGGCTGCGCAGCTTGGTGTAATGTTGCAGGACGAAATGGCCCTAAGTTGCTAAAATCACTAACCTCGCTGGCTACGCAACTTTGCTAAAGTAAGCGTAAGATTGCAGAATGTCAAACTTTCACGGCCCCTAACACAGTTTCACGAACTGAGAATTGAGACCCGGGCTCGGGTGCCCGGTGGATTCGCAGTTCTCAGCTCGCGCAGTCAGAAGCATGTTTTTTCATTAAACTGTTCTATACTATAGCTATCCTCAAAACTAATACTCGAGTGCTATTAGCGAGACACTTCTTTAGTAGTAGTGCTAGATAGATGGACTATTACTATTGTCGACCACTAAAAAGCTTACAGTATGGTCCTGTTTAGCCAAATTTGGACCAACTAGGACAACTAGGACAGCGACCATCTAAATGACCCGGGGATAGGCTAAAACATAAGAATGAAAAGCTTCAAATGCAGACGATCTCAAATGCTGGCCTACAGGGATCGGCTGTCCACACGACATCTTGGATTCCCAATAAAAGACAGAATGACAACTCATTGGCTAGACAGAACGACTAGTGATTGCCAAACAAGCTCATAAACAGTACCCATTACTAGCCGCTCGGGGGCTAATGTAATAAGTAAGCTACAATAGTAGTTCAGTAGCAATTCGGTACTAATTAGCTCCATAATAATACTGTACCATATATCGAAACTACTGTCAATCCCAGCGTGCACAGTCCATACGGTTACTTACCATTTTTTTTACTTCGAAACTAAAACTGGACGAGTGATGAAGCTTAACCCCTCCAGTCCGGCTTACTGCATAATGTAGATTAGACCCTTTTCATATCCAGCATAATGCTGGATAAGGCCAGTTTAGACAATTTGTTTTGAAATTTGTATGCCGTAGTTTTTTGCCCATCGTAGCCCATACTTAAATCAAGTCAACCAAAACTGATGAATTCGAATAAGAATAGAAAGCCCATATGTACGATTAGGTTTAGTACAGATGACATATACCCCTTTTAAAAAACATTTTGTAGCGTCGGACATTGAATGATAAAGGTTTTGTCTGAACGTTTCCAGCCACCAGTCATTCGAAAATTTCCGTCGTAGAGCACAGAACCAAAAGGGATGGTAAGACCCCAATCTTAGCAGCCTTAGCTCAGCTCTATTTTGGACACGTTCCTCAGTTTGGCAGTAGGCGGGGGCATTGTCCAAGATAATAGCTATGATCTTCCTCGAAAAATATGCTTAATATACAGGATGGGCTTTAGCGACTTCGTAAATATCATCTACAAAAGCAGCATTTATCTCCATCTCAATGCTTTCCCGGCGTGTAGCAGTGAATTAAGCCGACTTCAGGTAAAATGGCGCATTGCAGCTGTAAATTTGCCCCCTTAAGAGAAGCCAGCTTGCCACAGCGCATTTCAGACACGTCCTTGAGACCTTTCACAATATAAATTGTAATAGGTTTTGTCGTAATATACTATAAACGATCCATTTTTGCACCCCCAGCACAAAACCGCTTCGTTTATCAATGTTCGTTTCCTTATCGCAGGATTCTAGCTCAACGCGCGTCAAGCCATGTAAATATCGCTAATTGCACTTTGATACGAGTAAAAAATAATTCCATACCTGTTTCACTAAATGAGAGATGTGCTGACGCTTACGCCGATGAAGCATACCGCACTTCTGCGCGAGCGTGTACTGGCGGTTGTCCTCCGTGTACTCGACGCGGGATTTTTCATTCCCTGCGTGAGTGTCCCCTCTTCTTGGACGGTACGATGCACAGTTGCTGACAGGATGTCGTTGCATTTTGCGACAAGGTTCCAGTCTCGGCCCTCTATGTATGCACTCAAAATCCGCTTCTGCGCTGCTAGTTCATGCTTTGGGACCTTGTCCATGGCTGTTGCTGGGAATGTGACGGGGTCACACAGCACCTTGCACTTGAGGAAGTCGGCTTCCGAGAGTATACAAACGCTCAGTGAACAGTAGTTCACAGGTCCTCTATCTCGAAGGGAGCGAAGTGGCCAGTTTCAGGTAAGTTGTAAGCTGAATGTAATCATAGGTAGGCTAAGCTTGAGTTAAATACACAAACTATAAGTCACCTTTAGAAAAGCTGTGCCATCAGCTAATGGTTGGCCTCTGACGACCCTGGTACCATGTTCCAGGTATCCCGA